AGCACTTGCAGGGGTGTGTCTGAAGATGCAAGAGCACATCCCACATGGATTGCAGCTGTGCTTTCTCGGTGTGGAAATCAGAGGTAGAATGTCCCCACTTTATGCTGATTGAGTGCTGAAGCCCTCATCCCTTTTTCTGCATTTCTACACCATGTTTCCTCATGATACCACATCCCTATGTCAGTCTTCTCCTTGGGGCACGCAGCCACTCTCTTTTCAATCTTACTCCAGAGTCTAAAGGTCTACAAGACATTGGGTCTTATGCTCAACTAGTATTTTCCAAGAAGCATCCTTTGTGTGGTTAAAGTCACACTACATGCCAGTTTAGAGCTGATGGCACTTTTGGAGCCAGAATGGGGGCTTCCATTGCTTTTAGCTACCAGAATATGTCAGAAAGTAGAGGAAAAGGCCGTACAATAAACAAAAAAATTGGTATATCTAGTTCAGAGTGCACTTCTGAACCATATGTAAATGACCAAAGGAGACACTTTCACACTTTTGACATAGCTACCTCTCGCTGGTGGAACAAGTGGAGAAATAAATGCTGGAATTTGGCTTTCAGGGAGGATTTCTGTACAACAGCACCATGGGGGCGAAGAGCCATCTCAGCAGAATCAGTGAGTCAGAAACTCTGTACATGTTACGTTGAAGCAACAACAGTCGAGACAACCTCCTCTGTGCTCCATACGTTGTGGCACTGCCAGCCTGCTCCGGCCAGCTGCAGGTCCATCCCCCAGCAGGGACATTTGGGAATGCCTGTTGCTCCTCCACATCTTCTGCATTGTCTGCTCCTTGCTGAGATGGTCCCTGCTGGAGAGGAGAACTCACTTTTCTACCACACTTGGTGGTTATTTGAGAGACTTTTATATGTATATCTAAACTAGAGAGTCTTGAATAATTTACCAATTTCCAGGGTTAAGAGGAAGATTTATGATGTTTCCTTCTGGCAGGTGGCAGCTGATCTTGATTCTCATGGAAAAACAATTGTACTAACGACTTCTTTCTCCGAGCAGATCCAGGAGCAGCTACTGCAAGTTTATGTCGCCATGTGGTAAATAGACCTGTCGTCTTGTGTTTTACAATATAGTGAAACCTGCCCGCTGATCTGATTGCTCTATGGGGTAGTACAGCTTGCGAGCAGAAAAAGGGGGTGTCACCCTTCAAATCCATGACAGGAGTTGCATCCCCCCACCAGCAGAACCGAGCATGAGGTAGCGTGGGGCAAAGATTGATTTCCATTGCTTTTCTAGAAAAGGTCCCGGTAGGCCTTAAATCAGACTGAACTGGCAACGGAGCTTAGCGAAAGCTGGAATCATTTCTTTTGTAAGTATTTGAGTTCTGAATAAAACATAACATAGACCTGAATCTCAGTAGTTTAGTGAGCCAGACAGATTTTTTCCATGAATTAGAAGAAACCAATATAGGTCTATGTAAAGAGTACCTGTGAGATGGTATTCTCATAGTGCTTAGCTTCAGCATCCTGGGCTGCTCTGTGCTCAGGGAAACCGGGGGTGTGGGGGGAATATTTGCATTCCCAGTGAAGCACTGCACGTAGCTGTCTCACTCAGCACAGTGTGGAAAGGGGGAGTGAAGCGTGATGGTGGTCCCCAAAGTCTTGCATTGACTCCTCTGTGCATTGACTGTGGGGCGGATGGGTGTACTCACAAACTCTGTTTTTCCTTTGATCCTGTGTGTTCGGTTTGACTCTAAATCACGATGCTTTTTCTTTCACATTTCTCTTTAAAAGCAACAACACACTATAGTAATGTAGCTCTGAGAAAGGTGTGTCAACTGTGTTGGGTAGAGAGCATTTAGGGCTGGGTTTGAATGTGCTCTGGTCTCTTTTGCCCCTATCCCACTCATGGACTGTCCCCATGGATCAGTGACACTTGTTCACGTTCCTCGGATTCACATTTTCTTCCTAGATGGGCTTGGGTGGCTTTTGGCTTCATCTAAACTTCCCAGGGATGCATCATCGGAGTGAATGGCAATTGTATTACATGGAGTGTGTTATGTGAATAGTTGGTATATGCTGTCACCTGCAAGTTCTTGTTAGAAGGGGTTGTATCCTTTCTTTGAGGTTTGAGAGGGGTTTTTTTAGTTTAAAAAATTGATTAAAAATGAATGGAGGGAGTTCTAGCTATGAACTGCAAAGAGTAGGACTCGAGTGCCCTTACAGCTTTGAAGAACTGGAAATCTTGTCTGTATCTTTCATAAATCCAGTTTTTAGAGCTGAAGTCACAGGTATGCTCTGCATTGATCCAAACTGGCGTGAAAGAACCAGAACCTGCAGATTCATTCAGCAGAGCATCCCCTCCGGTTTCTGCTCTGTGCTCCTGCACGCCCCTGCACATCCCCTTCTCGCTCCCACTCCCACGCTTCCCTCTCTGCCTGCAACTCGCCGGGTGCACCAGGCAGGGTGCAGGCTGGCGTTTGAAAAGAAATCTTGTGAATTAATGGGAACATATTGCTATTATTTCATATAATCACTTTATTTGTAAAGGACATGCTGCAAAGGTACTCCTGCTGCTGAACTCAAAGCAACAAATCTATCTATATATTCCAGTCCATACTACATTATGAACAGATGGGTGAAGAAAAAAAAGCAATAAAAACAAATAATAAGAAAAGTAACAATGATAGCAATTTTAAAACACTCCCGGGGGGGAAAAAAAAAAAAAGTTTCTAAATTTTTTTAAAAGCAGTGTGAGATTGAATGAACTGAACTTCAAGTGCATCCATCCTCAAAGGTAGCATGTAAACATCTCCTGGCACAGGAAGAATTGCCTTTTTTCCAAGCCGCTGCCTTCTCGCCTTGTTCTTGTTACAGAAGTGATCTTTAAAAACCTGGGTAAGATGTCTGGGGTTTGGAAGCATTTGGTGATTTTTGGATTTTTTGGAGTTCGTGGGGAGGCAGAGGCCATGGATGGTGCTTCCCTCGACCATCCAGCAACTGAGAGAAACCACAGTCCTGTTGAACTCAAATAACAGTCTTCTCAGAAACACGTATTTGTTCACATAACTTTCTCTGAACTTTATTCTTCTGCCTCTGTTGAAGGAGGAAACTTCGGATATGAAGAACAGTAGAGATTACCATTTTAATCTCACAAAAAAGAAATTATCCAAATGTAGACTTCACCCGCAATGCCAGTGAGCTCGAAGTAGAGGGGAAATTTAAAACATTTATGTTACTCCGTTTCCCAGATCATAAAACGCAAGCAAATGGTCTGGCAATGGATGCTAAATTTCTTAAGGAACTTGCTTTAATTAATTAAACTAGTAAACCACTTAATGGATTTACTTGTAAATTCTTAGAAAATTAATTCTGTGCCCAAAGAGTGTTTTAAATCTGTGAAGGAGGCAGTGTGTATTTTCATACAGAGCTTGAATTCCTGTTTTAGATGAATCCAATTCAGCGCTGACTTTGAGACACAAGCGATGCATTCATAATTCTCGGACCTTCCTCCAAAACCGGCGCTTCCCATCAGCTGAATCTGGGAGAGATTTGCAAAGCAAAACCTGTGCTGCTTTCACAGCACCCAGCCCCTGTACTAGCTCCTAGCTATGCTGCAGCCTCACATTGCGCTTCTGGCTTTACATGGATGGTGGATGTACGTCCCTCCCTGTGCCTCCAACGGGCTTCTTCATCTGCCATCTCTGCCCCGTTCCTCCTTAGCCTCTTTGATCTGACCCAGTGATACATCAGATGTGCAGAAAGCAAGTCAGGTATCTCCAGTAAGCAGCGGATTAAAGCACTGAAAATCCTTTGGAGTTGCTGAAAAACAACTAAGCCGAAGTGGAGAAGATTCAAACAAAAGCTAATTTACTTTTCCACACAGAAACCTTGTTTAGATTCCCTGCCTGGCTCAGGGGTGACGGGGACATCCTCGGCACCTTGCACTCTTCGCAATCCAAAGTGACACATACATGAAAAGTTCATAATCAAATGTGTCCAGGCTCCTGTGAACATGAAATCAGAAACAAGCAGGTTCCCTGGGGCTCTCGGCAGTTATCGCTTCCCTTCTCTCCTAGCAGGTGAAGCCGTGTTTTTCCCTTCACGTGGCAATCCTCTGCTCTGGCTCTTGGCATCTGGGGTGGGGATCTGCCCCTCTCCTGCAGACCCTGGGGGGGTGCCAGCTTTGCCTGGCACTGCCTATGCTGCCCCGCCTTGGCTCCAAGGGGAAGCAGAGCTGCAGAGCAATTAGGAATAGGAGCATTTTGAAGAGGAAAATGGCAGGGGAAAAAATTAGCATTTGGGCTGTGATGTTTTTGCTGTTTATTAATAAGCAAGCTGCTTTTGTGCCTCCGGGGGCAGGAGAGGCTTCAAGCATTCCTTATTTCTCTTGCATTTATCTTTTTTTTTTTTTTGCTTGTTTTATGTGTTACAGGAGATTTGTAATGTCTTCCCACATGTTGAGTTTCCTTATTTTCATGAGAGTATCTCTGGAATAATTCCTCTGGAGCTCTCAGCTATGTGCTGCCGGGCTGATTTAAACATCCAGAAACACTTCAGGGACGCGGGGTGGTTCAGCAGCTCATTAGGAGGGAGTCATGTTAACTAGGAACAGGTCTGCTTTCTCCAACAGAAGTGGAATGACTTCAGGGATAAGTGTTTTCATGGAGGGAAAGCCCTTGTGCGTAGCTTCTGCCACCCGAGACCTGGGTGAGCCTGATGCGGGCACCCTAGTTCTGCGCCGGCAGCACAGCCTGGCCACTGGGCAGCCTCTTCCCAGCTGTTCAAACCCCACATCTCTGCAGCACCCCATTTGTCACTGGGGGAGTTCACTCAGGGGCCTTGCATGGGGACATTAGACACGCACAACTGAGTAACAGCCCGGTTACTCCATGTGCTGAACACCTGCGCTGCAGCAGATAACGTGCCCGTGATTACAGTCAGCTCTGTGCCGCAGGAGGTTCGCGGCCCTGCCGCTAGCTCTCCCCTGCCTTGTGGGAGGTGAGTTAAAACTCTGTATAATGGACTTGTTCTTCTTTCCCCTCAGGCCTCCAGCTCCTCCGGTGGAAAAATGCAGCTTCTGGAAACCGAGTTCTCGCGAACCATCCGGGAGCTCATCGAACTCCACCTGCTTCGCCAGGACAGCATCCCAGCCTTCCTCAGTGCCCTCACCCTCGATCTCTTCAGCCGCCAGACCATTGCTTAGCGTCCTCCACCAGCCAGGTGTGCAGCACTCCTGGGCAGGACACTTGAGGTAGTGAGGACAAATTCTCCCCTCCCACCCTTAATTTGTGTCATTGGGTTGATTCTGTTTTGCAGGGAACTCTTTCTTCCCCCTTCTTTCATGCTGATTCCCAAACTGCACCAATTCCTCTGAAAAGTATCCTTGCCCTCCTGTGGGAGGGCAAGTCTGTGCCAAGACCCAATCCCTCCCTTTGAACTCAGAAATGTGTTCATCACTGCCCAGACTCTCATCATTTCTCTGGGTATACAGTGGGAACTGCTGGTTTGAGGGCCCGCAGCATCACCTTTTGTAGCTTTTCGCAAAAGGATCCCCCAGATCGGGGCCCCGCCAGAGAGACAAGCCTTGCGGGAGGCTGGTGCTTCCTGACCCTGTGCTTGTCCTTTCCTAGTGGGAGCCAAGGGCTTGGTCCCTGAGGGGCAGGATCGGCCACAAGTAGCAGCTTCTTTGTGGATACCTCCTGCTCTTGCAAACAACTAACTCATCACTCAACAGGGTTGAAATTATTTTCAAGATATCCAGTTACCTGAGTCTGCCATCACTCAGCAGACAAGCACAAGCATAAGTGGCCGTTTGAAGACCCTATACCTGTGTGACACCTCTGCTTTGTGTAGTGTGCTCAGATGTCACTGGCATGCTTTTTGTTCCTCACTGGGACTCTTGGGCTCTTGGTTATCTCAGGACTAGGGAAGGTGGGAGGAAGCTCTTTGGGGTGTGCTCAGTGCTGCTGCCTACCCCCGGGCTGTAGGTACCTGCTCACCTGGCTGGGGGTCTACCTCCTCCTCTCCACCATGGAGGATGGAGCCACCCCCTGAAGTCTGACATTTTGTGTCGCAATGGATATAGCTCTTCTATCTTAAGAATAAAGTCTCACTTCCCAAACTGTATGTACGAGTCCTTTATTTGGGATATACAGTGTGCTCCCCCTGTGTGTGTAAAGCGTGACAACAAATTGTCCATCAGTGGTCTGCCGCTGCTACTGCTTTGAGAAGGGAGGGCATCACTATCTGAGTTTTTCCAGGCAAGTCTCATTCATGCTGTAAACCAGAATAGTTTGTTATAAACTTCTCGTGTGTATTGATTTCCTCTTGATATCAACAGGAACATACTTCCTAAGCTTGGAGAGAAGGTAGCAGTAAGCAGGCTAGAGTTAGCTTCGGTGCTCATGGTGGCTGCAGGGTTGGCCATGCTGGACTCACGCTGGGACCTGTCCACGTGTCTTCAGACACAGAAAATAGCTGCTATAGACCCAACTGATCAAAGGTGCAGGGACAAGCATGTGCTCCAGGGAGGCTGCAGCCCCCATCTCCCCAACCCTCTTCTCCACAGGGTTTGCAGAGAAGTGCAATAGCAGAAGTTTGGCATTTTCTCTTCTGCTTGAAGAAGTCCTGGTGGAAGATGAATTGCCTGACATGCTGTGCCAGGGGAATGCTGCCTGATTCATATGCACGACGTGGCACTGAGAGTCGCCTTCCTCAGTCATGGGGAAAATGAATCATGACGTCAGCCGCATTCGGCTCCTCCGCCAACACAATAGCGGATCCTGGCTGCCTCTGGAAATTTTCTCCTGGCTCCTCGCAGGAGAAATGAAGTAATTAATAAGTTTACAATAAACCCTCTATCTTAGCAAAACACGGGTGAGGCGAGAAGCAATGCTGGAGCGTGACAAGGGAAAACACGTTCTGCTCATTGGAAAGTTGCCTCCCAAGAGTGAAAGGATAAGTTGGGGTAGAAAACACAGTAGTCTTCTGAGACGCCTTTGGCAGAGAGGAGAGACAGATGAATTACTGCTCTGCACCCCGTTGTCCCAGCAAGACTGATTTGTTCAACTAAGTTTAGTACAGCAGCACAGCTGGGAGAGGTGTGTCGTGAGGATGGGTGCTTGGCTAGATGTGCCAGTGAGGGGCAGTGCCTGGGCCTGCTCATGGCTTGGGAAGCTGCTGGGGTAACTGTCCTGCCTTGGCCAGCAGCAGCTCTGCCCTGTTCGTGGCGTTAGGCTGTTGAACAGTGAGTAGGCTTGGGTACTGTGTGAAGCTGGGAGTTTTGGGGAGCTTGGCTGCTCTAAGTCTCACTGATGGAGGCCTGGGAGCATTCATATAGAAGTATGACCATTGCAAAGCCACCTGGGCCACCCGTGGGACACGGACTTGCAGTTGGGCACTGGGAAGAAGAGCTGAGACTCCCTGGTTTCTAGCTTCAACACTAAATTCAGGACGGAGCCCCAAACATACGGCTGTACCCTGCTGCCATGGCATCTCTGCCACTCATTATACTGCTTGTCTCAGCCATGACAGAGCTGTGAGGAGCAACTGCAACACTGAATTTCACAGTGATTGCTCCTTCCATGCCCCATCCTACATGGGGCTCGGCTGCCCATCGCGGGGCCCTGCCACTGTGTTCACCCCCCACATCCCCCCTCCACGGGTGCAGCCCCCTGGGGCAGTGCTGTCAGAGTACCCTGGTTGCCACCGATGGTTGGCCATCAGCGAACCAGGTTTCAGCTGCCCCAGGTGTTGGGGGCACAAATTTCATCTGGTTTTGGCTCATCCCTTGCAAAGCTCCAGCCCTGTTCATGGAAAATCCTTTTAGAAAATCTGGGGAGATCGGTAATCAATTTGTAGTGGGTTGGAGGGGAGAGGTGAGAGTGTTAACAAGTGTGCCTATGCTCGCTGGGTCTCCGTACACGCTCCCTGGGTTTATATGCTATAAACTGTAAAATATGATTTATTAATGCACGGCTGGGAGACTCTGTGTGTCAGAGCACTGTCTTGTTTGCAGTGTTGCCTGAAGCTTCCCTTCACTCACACTGCTTGCAAGCCCCCGCTCCTCTGCTGATCAACCCTTTTCATCTGCGTGCATATATAAATGCCAGACATGAGCAAAGAGCTGTAAAGTACTGCCATACGGTCCTTGAAAGCAGCCGAGCTCTTGGCTAAGGCAGGTATTGCAAAGTTCACACTTCTCCTAAGGTCGCATCTCTGAACTCGAAGCCTTTTGCTCCTGCTTTTTGTCTCCTGGCTCTTCGCATTACTGTATGTTGTTCACAGGAGCCTGAGTTGTCCTGGAAGTGCCTGAGAGGAACCAGGGAAACCCTTTTGGGGTGATCCATGAGAACCTTGGGGTTTGTAAATGTCGTTATGGATCTTCTCCATGTGGTGCTGTAGGAGGAAGGGAAGAAGAAGGGGGAAGAGCATGAAGCTCTGCTGGAGGTGGATACCTAGGGAGTGAAAGGCAGGAGTGGGGCTGGACACAGATGGAGAGGAAGGAACAGGGTGCTGGACAGAAAGGGAAGACACCGTTTCTAAACTAAAGAAAGAAAAGCCATCCTTTCCCACTGGCTGACTGACACTGTCTCCAGAGGCTGTGTGGCTGCCTCGGCCTGGGCTGTCCCCACCTCAGGGGCTGGAAAGTCACTGGTTTTCCTTCCCACCCCTGGCCACAGCGGGGCTCTGGCTGGAGGCCTCCTCCTGTCCCCCGCTGCATGGGGCCCCTGCCCCAGGGCACAGATCGCAGCCTTTGGGGTCTGCAGCCCTGCTGTTCAGAGGCTGTTGCCTTGCACCCTCCCACACACACCCCCAGGGTTTTCCCTCCCTGAGAGAGGCCTTTCCCTCCCCACAGCTGCTTGCAAAGTGCCTTCTCCCTTCTGCCTCTCTCGGCAGAGCTGGGGTTGGTTACTGGGGGTGGCCGATGCAGCCAGGGTCTGGGCAGCCCTGGGCTCCAGGTGGGCAGGAGAACAACTGTGAGCATCCCCAGGTACCTCCTCCCACTGCTGCTGGGTTGGAGGGAGAGCTGCAATGGCTCGTGGGGGTGCAGAGAGGGCTGGGGTATGGAGAGCAATGAGGCAGGAGTGATCCCACTCCTGGCTTTTGGATTTTCTGCCTGTTCTGCGACAAGACAGTGAGGACCTTCTGCACTGCGGGCTCTGTAAAATGGGAATATCACTTCCCGGTCATGGCCTCCCAACGCCAGCCAGCAGTGGAGGTTATGTGACTCCAGATGCACCCCTAGGGGGGGCCCAGATGGGAGCAGCATCCTGTAGCAACATGATCGTTGGGGTCAGACACAGCATCCTGTAGCTGCGACACTGGCGTTGCTGTCGGTTCTCCATCACTCCCCTCCGCTTGCTCCAATGCACCAAAGAAACACGGAGTGGCACCCACCCTTTTCATTTCCCAACCCCAGCAGCCAGCTGAGAGACAGCTGAGAATGGTGTGAGTTGGGATGATGGGCGGATGTGTCAAAATAAGCCTCGGGGGAAGGAGGCAAAAGCCTTCCTAGGACATCACCAAGGTAATATCAGACCCAGTCAGCCAATGCTGCTCGGTGTGGGAGATGACGCAGCCAGGGCAGGTTTGGTTCTGTTCTAGCTTTTAGCTGTTGGAAGATGCTGGGAACACACTGATGGTGTCAGATGCCAGGTGACCAGAGCTAATGACGGTGTGTTCTTGACAAGGCAAGTGTAGTAGCTGGGGAGGACAGAACAGGATTTCTGGGCTGGTGTAAATCACAGTTGTGCTGCCTGCTGTGACAGCACATTCGGATTTAATAACAGCAGTGTTAAAAGTTGCATGATATTTAAAAGCTACAAAATGCGCCCACTCTGATCAGGGGAGGGATATTAAATAAATAAATAAATAAATAATCAGCAGAGCTTTTTCACGAAGTCTTTTTTAAATATTAAAGCCCCATCCTTCCAAACAGGAAAGCTTTTTTCAGGCTAAGAGGAGCGAGTGAACGGCATCTGATGATATCGCATTGACACAAGTGTCTAGAAAAATAGGGTAGGAATGTATGATCTGTTCTGAAAAAGGAACCCTAGCTAATAGAAAATATGCTGATGCTACTTTTAATTTCATGACTCAGGTTTGCTGCAAAATTGATGGGAAACTGTGTTGGAGCTTGGTTACATTAAAACAGTTCTCTGCAGCTTGGGGGTTTTCCATTTCTTGTTTCTCTTTTGGGGATTATTATTGTAACATTTTTTTGGTATTCCGGGGGCTTCTAGATGTTACTTGAAAAGACAAATAGGAGATTTTTGCTTCTGAAACGTTCTATGTAGAAATCACTGGCCAAAGCCTACCCTGAGGGACTGTTGCAGACCCCGGCCTTGGGCAGCCATCCCAGCGGCTGCTCCTGCTCCCTCCACCCATGGTGGCTGGGTCTCCAGGCGTCTCCAGCCTTCCCTGTGTGCATGTTTTCCCTCAAAGCAAATACAAGGGACAAAACAGAAGGAAAATGCAGTTTAAGGAAAACACTGCTGTGTAAGTTAGGGAGCACAAAGGCAGCTCCTTGATGCTGGAGGGCTTGGGAGCAGCTCGTGTCTTTGGTGTCCAGCCAAACCATGTTCTTCCACCAAAGGATGTTCCTTCAGGTTGTGTCAGTTCTCTCTCCTGCCTCCCCAACACAGGATCAAGCATCTCCTGGACTCATCGTCTTCCCTATGCTGTTTCTTGACCCGAACTCCAGTGCTGATGAGTTTATTAGTGTTGCTAATTTTACCTGATGCTGCTTCCTTCTCTTCGTGACAGGTTGTGTTTTTTTGAACTCTCCAGCTGACTGATTGAGCTCTCTTTTAATATTCCCTGTTTTACTTTGAATTATTTGTTGACTGTTGGTTGGTTTTCTTTAATCCTTCCACTGCTTCTTTTCCCTCCCTGGTCCCTCCGATGCCTCTTCAACCTGGAACAAAGCCAGAGACCATCAGGAGGTCATTGAAACACAGACGGTTGTTGGATTTAAATAAGGACTTGATAATTTTATGACCATTAACAGGACTCGCTGCTATGCAAGCTAAAATAATAAGGGCAATCATATCTCATGGTTCGGGGAGCAAGTTGATTGTCTGTAGGGACTGAGAAGGTAATTCTTCATTCCTGAC